CCGAGTCGTGGACCAGATCCCCCGGATAAGGCCCAAGCTCCGTCAGGAACCTCTCTGGGTCCATCAGTCGCCTGGGACGGAACCATAATGCCACATATAATATTCTAGAATAGAATCTAGAAAAGCACATCATGATTTAGATTGATAAACTCTGCCATAGTATGACAAATCCAAGTCAGAATGGTGTTTGGCTATGATTCAAAGAAAAATGCAATTAGCTATGACTAAAACATTACTATTTTATTTTCCTTATACATCATTCCATTGTTAAGCAGCAAATCTCCAATTTAGCATCCTGGCTAGCCCATTTACTGCTTTTTATCTCAAAATGTCTGGAATCCCAGAAAAGATACACTAGTATTCAAAAACAATCATTTGTTACAATGTATCAGAAAGGAATGAGTGCGAAGAATCTCAACATTTCTAGGAGAAAACAATGCATTTAAGGTTTTTGTATTTAACAAGAAAATATCCTCCAAAGTAAATCCCATAAAATAGTTTTTTCACGTGGTGTTTACTTAAGATCTAGACCTGTATCTTAAGATTTTACATTGTTTTATATAGCAAAAATAAATCATGCCTTCCTAATGAATTACAGTGTAAAGCTTTCATACCTTAACATACAATTAACAGGAAATCCAGCATCCAGATTATGGACAGCTCTTAAATCTACTGAAAAACAAAAATGATGGGATGATGCAGGAACAGCAATTTTTTGTCCTGTAGTGGATTCAGAAGTACTGGGATGTTGAGTCTGAGAAGCAGGCAGTTTACTTTTCAAAGCTGCAAATATAAACACAAAACTAACTTCAAAAAAAGTGTTAGCTTTTCTTCCAATAAAAGCTTCTCAATATAGTGTTGCAACAGTTTTAAATAAGTGTAAGTTAGTATTACTCTAAGGTTAGTATTACTCTACGGCTCAGTGATTAAAGATGCTGAACTTGTCAGCTGGAAAGCTGATAGCCCGGGTTCGAGACCTGAGTGCCACATGACAGGATGAGCTCCCATTACTTGCCCCGGCTCCTGCCAACCTAGCAGTAGGAAAGGATGCAAATGCAATGAGATAAATAGGTACCATTTCAGTGGGGAAGTAACAGCATGCTGTGCGCCTCAGCATATAATCATGCTGGCCACAATCATGCTGGTTGGACAATGCTGGCTCCCTTGCTTAAGAAACAGAGTTGAACACTGCCCCCTAGAGTCAGATTTGACTGGACAGAGGAAACTTTTTCCATTATTACTCTAGTTTTATTTGTTAAAAACACAATTCTCAACCAGATATATATCTATTGCTATAGGTTCATAAAAAATATTCCACGTGGCATCTTGAAGACAATTCATGTGATTAAGGCTAATATTTCTGGCAGACTAGTATTTACAAAATATATTTCCACATTTCTATATAAGGACAAAATCATATAAAGCAGGGGTCGCCAACCTATGGGCCACGGGATAGGCTGGCCAGTGTGTGCACACGTGTGCGTGTACTCATGCCCACTCATGCTAGCGCCGCTGCTATGCAAATGCGCCCCGCACGCCAAAAACAGGGTACCGCAGTGAAAACGAGGTGCCACGGACCAAAAATGGGGCGCGGTGAGCCGAAACCAGGGTGCCGCTAGTGTCACACGGGGGCTAGCACCGCTGTTTGCATCGTGTGTGCCCGCAGCCCCATTTGTGTGCACACGCACACATCCGTGTAAAATCCTTTCTCCTCTCTTTCTCTCCGGTCCGCCAACCGAGAAAGATTGGAGACCTCTGGTATAAAGCACTCGTAAGTTACTGTATTCTGTTTACACAAAAAAGCCTGCTGTTGTTATACTAGTAATTTATTTTAAAATGAAATATGAAACCTACAACCATAAACAGATAATGCTCTCAAACTAAACATAAAGGAATTCCATAGGTAGGAATTCCACCTATTCAGAGCTTTTAGAATGTTTTAAATTAAATTAAATCATTGTGCAGAGTAAAAAAAATTTCTATGAGGCTGCTATAAAAAAGATACAAGGCAAGAATAAGTTTGGGCTAGAGATAATAAGTTACGAGATATAGGTTCTGTCCAATTATTACCTTTTTTCTGTAATTTTGGATTTTTGTCATACTGAATACTTTCTACTTCACTTTCTGTAGCATCCTCTTTTATGGGGGGAGAATGTTGTGTCTGAGGTAAGATATCTTGGGAGCCATTTTCAGGTCTCACTTCTTTATCATGTGTTGGGGACAAACCTTTTTTCACATTTTCAGTCTCAGCCTTTGCAGCTGATTGGATTATAGGCTGAACAAACAAAAAGCAATGTTTATGACTAGCATTAATTTCATTTTCATGTAAAAATGATCATCAGTATATTTTTATTGTATTCTACGCTTTAAATAGTAACAAAAACTAAGTAACAAAAAATGAGCTGCACCTGACAAACTCTGCCATCCTTCTGAAGTGATACCGATACCCCAACAGTAGGTGCCATATCCAAGGGCAAGGGTGGCAGTTTCTGCCGAGCTCTATTAGGTGGAACAAGAATAAATGCTCCTTCTATAGCTACTGGATGCTGGCAAATTTCGGTACTTCCTTTCTTTAATAAGCTAGTTAAAAGAATTTCAGTGCTTCCAAGAGATTGGTCCCCACAACAGAGATGAATCTAGAATTCAGAAGAGCATTATGAGGGGAAAAAGTAAACAAATAGATCATACTGATTAGTCATATTCAAAGAATTTACACAATCACCTCCAAATGCAAGCAGTAAAGATGATACCCAAATATTCATAATGAATCTTAGATTAACGTCTTACGGAAGCAAGGATTCCCCAGATTTTGATTTTCCTCAGATTGTCGTATTTCCCAAAATCCCTAATACTTCAAGTCACAATTTAGCAACAGCTTCAAATAAACATATTATAGGACATGAGTCACAACCCAAACAAGGACAGCAAAACTGATCCAGAGATTAATGGTACTACTAAACCGTGCAGAGACTTCATCATTACCTGTAGATGTTGGATCATTTCTAAACACCCCACAAGCCGAGAGAAATGCTGTCTGCCATTAAACGTATAACAAGAATGTCTCCAATTATGCATGAGCCTATTGAATTATAATATTGCTTTTCTGTAGGGCCAAAACATTTGCCCACATGCCAGACTGGATTGTGATAAGTCCACAAGATTATCTCAGATTCTAGAACAAATTATTAAGGTTTAAACTGTCAACAAAAATGGTAAAACTGCTTACCTGCAACTTTGAGTGAGCAAAAAAGTAAGCTCTTAGAACTTCAATGCTGCTGCGTATTCTAACAGATGCTCTTTCTGGTTCAAAGTTTGGATTCATCAGGTCAGTAAATGGTTCATTGGTAACATCATTACCAAGGAGTGAATAGTAAAAGAAGAATTCAGGCTGTCGTTCTGGAATTTTCACTGTGGTAGGTATTAACTATTGTGAATGTAGAGGAAAACACAAAACAGACTATGCATCCTCAGATTGATCATTTGGATCTATGAGCATTCATCTGCACTCCCACAATAAAGATTCTTCCACATTCCACTAAATTTATTCAGGCATTTAAATATTTAGCAAATATAAAATCAGAGGACTCAAAGATAAGAGTAACTATTAGCTCCTGCTCATTTTTTTAGCTACTCCCATCAGGACAGAATACAGTTAATTTAGATTTTTAGATTTTAGAGCAAGAAATAAAAAGAGAAAGATAGATAATAGGACCATGCATATTCAAATATGATTTGAAGTGATTCAGAATTTGCATAATCCAGTCCCTCACTAATACTCATTAAAAAAGCTTGTCTAATTTCAGGTTTCTGTGCAAGCGATGTGACCCACTGAAAGAAGCAATTAAAGTTAATGAAACACAAAGCAGTCACAGCTGAAAAAAATATGGACAGCTTTAACGAGCAGAGATGGGTGCTATGCAATAAGGTTCAAAATATTTGTTTGTAATAATTTTAAAGAGTATATGGAATTCCAGGTTTGATAATATTACAAAGTCATCATGCACTGTGAAGATCATGCTTTATAAAATCTTCTACATGGTAACCAAGAACTTAGCCATTTAAAAACATGAATCAATATTATTACCTGTTCTAATTGTGTAGCAAATGCAATAGTAACTGACAAAACAAAATAGTCACGGCAATATTCTGCTGGTCCAATTTGATGATATCCTTCCTCTTCATTCAGCACAGGTACAAGATTTTTGGGGTCCAATCCAGGTAACTGAAAAGATACTTTAAAAAAGAAGAAATTTGACTTGGACTTTCTGAAAAAAATTGATCCAAAAGTTTTTATGTTGTGAACACACCTAATACCAATTTGATCACTGCAGTTTATAAAAGTTGTGCCTCAAGGAAACTAAAACGTTTCCTAGTAAATATAAAACAATTGTATAAATTTATTACACATCTATGTATATGTTTTGTGTGTGCGTGCGTGTGTGTTTGTGTGTATATATATATTCTTTGATAGGTAGGTAAATAGATATTTAAAAATGTGTTGTATTACGCATTTTTGTGTTACACACAAAAATTTTAAACCTACCTTTTAATAAATTTGAATCCGTCAATTATTTACCAATTTGGAATAATCTAGCATAATTTGGTATTGAAAATGATTCCTAAAAATCACATTTTTTATATTGTAAAGCATTTCCTATATTCATTCTGGTGTACTACCAAGGAGGACTGCAATAAAGTATACCAGTTTAACTGAAGATCATTAGTACAAACAGAAGTTATAGCACTGTTCATAGACAGTGGGCACAGTGCCTGGCTTTTATAAACTGGCTTTATTATGTTATACAAACTGTCTATAAATCAAACAAATTTAACACAAAGAGTGCAAGAAAATGTTATGAAGCATATAGATGAAAAGAAATTCCACCATATGACATACAGTACACATTAAGTTTATACTTTGCATAAATTTACAACAGAATATAAAAAAGCTTTAGGACAGAGAATAATATAAAAGTATGAAGAATAAAACCATAATGCTAAATAAAGTTTAAGTAAAATATCACATGCTGAAAAATGATTAAAAAAACAGCAGTAAGAATGATTAATTTAGAGAAACAATAAGTATTATAAAATGTAATGAAAACAAAAAATTAAAATTCCAATCCAGGAAAAATAGTAGATATGCAATCCAGTTTATAATTCTAAAATGTGATTAACATCTTAATTTTTAAAGTAAATTAGTCTGAGTATGATCTTGATATATAGGAGGAGACAATCAGAAACAGCCTTAAGAGAGATGGAATGGAATCTGTTCTGAGTCTGAACAAACATTAAAAGTGAAATGAATTTACAAGATAAGTATGTCTTTCCATATTTTGGAAAGACATATAACTCTATATATACTTTTAATTAAAAATTATTAACCAAGATTTTCTGGATATATAATATTGTACACTTATAAACAGTCAGAAATAAGGTCTCAAACTTTTCCAATAGGACTGAGCAGAATTCTGGCTTAATGGGTCTACTTAAAAAACTAATCTGGAGGTCTACCAGTTGCATTTAAGTAAAATCAAATAAATAATAAAATTGGACATATATTTAAAATTAATAAACTTGAGTGCAACTACATGAATCTGACAAGTTCATTTTAGGCACAAAATAATGTGTTCAATAGAAATAATAAATAGAAACAAGTTTATAAGACATTTGTATGGCAAATTTGTCAACCATTTCTGGACTTAGAAATATTCATAATTATCACAATTCACAGAATTTCTCTTGTTCCTTATGAAAAAAAAGCATTTATTTTACTACTAACCTGCCATTTCTCTGGGAGGTGCTTCCCTTGCTTTAAAACCATTGATGGATGCTTTGGTGTCAGTTTCTAGCATCAGATTTAGTTGCAATTCAGGCTTAAATTTTGTGTATCTATTGCTGAGTAAAGGATACCATTTTGGTGGCTGTAGCAATTTTATTTAAAAAGAGATAAATAATATGCTTACAATAAAGAATCAATAATGAACAGCCAATAAAAGAATACATTTGAGGTGCAGCAAGATAAATTAAGCAGTTAAGCAGGAATATTTTAAGAGTTCAAAAAATAAAATTAACAAATACTTCTAAGTGACCACACTCTTTACATTATAAAGCTGCATAACAAAAAAAAAACATCAGATGTACAGATGTTGAGACTCTAGAAAGAGTATAGAGAAGAGCAACAAAGATGATTAGGGGACTGGAGGCTAAAACATATAAGGAACGGTTGCTGGAATTGGATATGTCTAGTTTAATGAAGAGAAGGACGAGCGGGGACATGATAGCAGTGTTCCAATATCTCAGGGGCTGCCACAAAGAAGAGGGAGTCAAGCTATTCTCCAAAGCACCTGAAAGCAGGACAAGAAGCAACGGATGGAAACTAACCAAAGAGAGAAGCAACCTAGAATTAAGGAGAAACTTCCTGACAGTTAGAACAATTAGCCAGTGGAACAACCTGCCTCCAGAAGCGGTGAATGCTCCAACACTGGAAGTTTTTAAGAAGAAACTGGACAACCATTTGTCCGAAATGGTATAGGGTTATCTGCCTGAGCAGGGGGTTGGACTTGATAACCTCCAAGGTCCTTTCCAACTTTATTATTATTATTATTATTATTATTATTATTATCATTATTATTATTAATTATTATTATTATTATTATTATTATTATTATTACAGTACACAAGCAGATATTTATCTGTTCTATGTACTATCAGTTTTTTGTTCAATTTCCCAAAACCATAAACAATTAAGCAACATGAAGATATTATTTTGGTATTGTGCAACATAGCTGGCTATGGGCTTCAATAAACTCTGGTTAAATCACTATGTAACATATTGTATGAACATGTAATTTAGTTAATCTAAAGCAGGCATGTCAAACACGTATCGCGACTTTTTCCCCGTTGCCGGCAATGGGGTGGGCGCGGTTTTATTGTGACACATCCGGCCCGTGGGCCGGCAGTTTGACATGCCTGATCTAAAGCATAGTTTCACTGAAGAATAAAGCAGTATCTTTTCTAGTCTGCTTTATAACTGCAGGTGGAATCCCAAATTCCTGCACTGAGAAAGTTTCTACCACTCAAAAGCTAAATGATAGAAAGTCAAGTCACATTCTTTCCTGTGTCTACATATTTTTTTCCTTTATGAAGGATTAACAATTATTTGAAAGCTCACCAGTAATCTGAAATGGTGTAATCCAAACATATATATTCAACTCTGTGCAAAGTTAGGTTTGATACATTATTACTTAATCCAAATTAAAACAACTTAATCTGGAATACACACAAAGGAACTTATTTTATCATTAGATACAGAATTACAAATACCTGCTTTTTCTCTTGAGCAGTTCTTAAATCTAGCACAATATAACCTATTGTCTCTTTAACTGCAGATAGAGAATCCAAAGCAAAGCACTGCAACTTGACAGGTGTACGCTGTAATCTGTATAAAATATGAATCCCATGCAAGAATTGTTAGCATACATATTTTTTTCTTTTGTGAGTTTGAATGCAGATATCTTAATGTTTTACATATTTCAGAAACAACTATACTAATTAAAAGTATTCTCTCACAAAAAAACTTTATTACCATTTTTATTCACAACAAATACAATCTAGTATTTAAAACTCTTTCTCCAAGATAATTGTATAAAAGAGAACAGATCCCTGTATTACTTTTTTCTGGGCAAATCTAAGATAATCTGGGATAATAAAACTGGGAGCAGAAACTCTTATTTTAGATAAATATAATAGTTGACAATCACATATTCCATTACCACATTTATTTCTTCCATTACGAAGGCATTTGAAAAAATAACCATAGGCAACAACTGGTCTTTATCTCTTGTGTCTCTGAATTTTACAGCACTATCACAGATCAACTCACTATAATAATTATTAAAAAAAATTCAGGGACCTAAAGCAAGTCAATGTAATTTACCCATCCACAACTTTTTGAGAAATAACCTGTGTTGGTGAAGTGCTTTCCTATCAAGTTCCCAAGCTAACTCCGTGGCAAATTCTGGTTGATCAGTATGTTCCACAGGATCTGTAGCCAAATGTTCGCCATCAAACTTTGCTTCTACCACCAGCAGACGCTTTGGACGTTTTGGAAAATAACGCCCTAGAAAAAAAAATGGAAAATACAATTAAAAAGCTCTTAAATAGAAAAACTGAAAACTTATTTCATCAATCACAAAATGTATTGCCAAAGTTGATTCAAATATTCAAAAACAATTGTTAACCGCTGCACAACTGCATCTTCCATTGACTGGTTTCAAATAAATTGATAATAGCTTATCCCAATTATAGAAAAACTTGGTTGTGTCTGCAATGGACAGTAACTCAGATGATTTCTTCAAAAATGTAATGCTTGCATTTACATATTTTGCTAAGCCAAATTCTGGTTTAAAGGGAACAGGTAGCATGCTATAGCATACAGCATAAATAATCCATCTCTCTATTACTGCTGAGCTAACATAGAAATCCATGTATTTTGTTTAGCATAACATGTTAACAGGAAATGCTGCCTCGTTTGTTTTATCAAATAAAAGGAGTTCTGGTTTTCATCTTTCCAGTTTGTGCATATTGCTACAAGAGCCACAAAGCTTCCATGGGTCATTTCTTTACTAACGCTAGCAGAAGTGGGAGAGATCAAATTCATTCACACTAAGCCAGAATTCTAATTAAGAATGAAATACAAATATAATTAGGACCAGGTTTATAGCAGTCACATACTTAAAGGCTCCAGATTACAGTCTTCTAAGAGAAATGGCCACTACAAAAAGAAAGAAAACCACTCTGTTGCCTTGTTAAGGAAAACATTGACAGAATTTACAGTATGAACTGTTTCACAATATATCAAAACCAATGCATGTATGTGGCTGTACTCCCCAATCCCTCAGCTAGACTAGCCCATACTCATATCCTATAGCAGTAATGGCAAACATATGACACACGTATCAAAGGTCATATGCCACAATATTTTGGATGATGCATCAGTGTTCATCAACACACAACAACTATTTGTGAAATCACACTCATTCTCATGCAATTTTCGAAGGGTGCAGAGGAATGGGCTGTGTTATTGACAGCCTCTGAAAACTGCATGAGAACAGGGCATACTTTTACCGTTTTAAGAAGTTGCAGAGACTGTAGAACAGCATTCTCCAAAGCTCTTTCAAGAAAGAAGACCTCATGCAACCCAGATTAGCCTAAGGTAGGGCGGTGTGGGCCTTTCAACAGAAAGCAAATACTGCCTGAGGGTAAATGGTACACAGCTCATGAGCCATGGGAAAGGGCACGATGTGGCCTGAGAAGCAGCAGTGGCATCAGGATAAAAGTCAAAGACATCTACTTCAGGCCTAGCCTTGGATGCCGCTGTTCAGGGTGACCTAAGGCGGGAAGAGAGAAAGAATGGTTTCTCTTTTGTTTGGGGATTGGATGGGACATGCCAGAGTCAAGTTAGGCATTTTCCAAATTTTTGATACTCTGAGCCCAAAAAGTTCACCTTCGTTGGCCTATAGTCTCTTAAAGGTTCCTGTGGGAGAAAAGCATCAGTCTATTTTTGCTTACTCTGGAATATAAGTCTTGCCTCATAACACACTTTAGGACAACAGAACTATAAGAATAACCAATGTAAACATGGTATTCTATCTATCTGGTATGGGGCTTCCGATATGTCAATCAAGAAAATGGTTAAAATTTCTCTCCTATTTTATCAGTTGCCAACCGAAGCTGGGAAGCAAGGCAGCCCTTTGGCTACAGCTATTCTACTCATCAGCTCTCATTCTGTAGAACAGGGCTTTTCAACCTTTTCATCCATTGTACCACTTTTAGGATATGACAATATCCAAGTACCACCAGTCACCTAGCAAAGTGTCAAAAACTTCATGACCCCCCCCAAAAAAGGAAAAAAGTGATAAAGTACAGATAGTCCTCGACTTGAAACAGTTCGCTTAGTGACTGTTCGAAGTTACAATGGCACTGAAAAAAGTGCCCCCCAAGGCACAGCTGATCAAGACATCTGCCTGCCCACCCGGCGGCGTTCTTCCTCCTGTCCGAGGTTTTCATTGTTGTGAGCATTTCTGTTGAGGATTGGCAGCGGGGGTGGGGTGGGGGTGTTTGGTTTTCATCCCCCCCGTCTGCTGGGTGATTGCAGCAGGTTTTGGTCACTTCACATGACCCTGGGACACTGTGACCATCATAAATATGAATCAGTTGCCAAGCATCTGAATGTAAATCACAAGACCCTGGAGATGCTGCAACATTCCAGCTGATCGGCACTTCTTCTGGGCTCAGCAGAAGCACCAGGATCAGGGCCGAGCTCCAGCTGGAGCCTGGCGCTGATCCTGGTGCTTCCACTGAGCCCTGACAGCCCTGCAGCTCCAGCCATCTCTCGCTTAGGCTTGTGCGGTGCTGCCACCGGTTCAGCTCATTCCCCTCCCCTGCTACCACTTTTCTAGGATGGTCGCGTACCACCTGCCAGGTGCCAATGTACCACAGGTGGTACCCGTACCACTGGTTGAAAAGCCCTACTGTAGAACACATGTACTAAAACAGATCAGACAGATTCTTTTAGCATTCCCTTGAGCAAAAATCCAAACCATCTGCCAAGTTTCATAAACTATGAAATTCTGAAATGATATGATCAAATACACATACTATGGCTGCAATCCTATATATATTTAGGGCTGCAAAAGTTATTTGTGAGTAAATATGGATAGATTGTTTATTCCGATGCACGTGGGACCTGCTAGCAAACGAAATTAAAGCCAAGGACAAAATGTAGCTAACACCAAATATACTTCATAATCTTCATATAGTATGTATGAAGTTGTGTTTTGGTTTTTTCCAATAGTTACATTTCAAATTTTAAATACCATGCACTGTAAAATCAGATTCAGCTCTACTGTAAATAACTGCATTATAGATTAACCCACCAACAAAATTTGAGTAATATATAACCAGAAAATTTGTAAACCATTTGCTATTACAAAAACTACAATGTGAAGCATGAATTTACCAGATTGTGGCAACCCATAATGTAACAAAAATTCCTGATGCTTAACTCTATTGTAAAAACTAAACTAAAATTGGACAAATAAATATCTGCCTAAATGCTTATTTATACAGTGACAAAATCAATGTATTGCTTTGAGTAAAGTTTGTCTGTTCCAGAATAATCTCCCAGAAATCAAGGACATCAATTATATCAGCTCTGAAATAGGAAATTACAGCGTGAACAATGTAACCCACCCACAGTTCTTGCTACCATAGAAAGAATAATCTGAAAACAACACTAAATGTATTCTTCCTTCTTTATTGTGTTTTTGTAGGTTTTTTCCCCCCCAATATACCCTAACCCTGAGCTTATTTTTATAGTACAAGTCCTTTTGGCCAGAAACCAACTAAACAGAAATGTACCCTTAAGATGAAAAATGTGAGGACAATTTTAACCATTGGAAATCATTTAACAACTTCCAGATCAAATATGAGAAAGGAAAGATTATTCTCATAGGAACTACGTAGGAAATTATTGGTTATTTTATTAAACATTTTAAGCCCAACTCTGTAATGACTCTGGGTAAAATAAAGATTTCCTCAGAGTGTTCCCTCTCATTACTGTACCCTCACATAACACAAAGTTCAAGACGGTACTGAGCTCAAGGAAGAATTCTTTAGAACGTACTTGGCTTATTCAGATGAGATAAGATCTTACCATCTGGGCAAAAATATGGAATATGTGAAGTTGGTACAGATGCTTCCTCAAAATATTTCATTGCACTGGAAGACTTCTATATGCTTCAGAAAAGAAAAATCAATTTATTGCTACCACTGCAGCAGCACCAATTGTGGTTTCTGCTACTACCCCTTTGCTGGTCAGATTTAATGCCTGAACGCTACCCAAACCCAAGATGGTCCATAATTGCCTCCAAAAGTATTCTCCAGCCCCAGGAGCCAATAAGAGTTTAAAATCTGGAAGTGACCAGGTTGATTTAGGCCAGGGGTTCTCAACCTTGGCAACTTTAAGACTTGTGGACTTCAACTCCCAGAATTCCTCAGCCAGCTTTGCTGGCTGAGGAATTCTGGGAGTTGAAGTCCACAAGTCTTAAAGTTGCCAAGGTTGAGAACCCCTGATTTAGGCGGTATTCACAGGCAAGAGAAAGGGGTGCGATCGCTTTTCCCACCAATTCCTCTCCAGATACACACTCGATGAGCTGATCCTCCGAGAACTGCTTTAGAAATTACCTTCCAAGATAGAGACCACAATGAGGAGCTGGTCAGCCTTAGGGCCCATTTTCATTCGGGTCAGCAGCTACCGAGCCAAGACTGGCTGGCTGGCTCACGGCTTAATTCGCTCCAGAAGAAAGCACGGCTGGTAACGTCCGAAGCTGACTTCCTATATCGGACGCCAGAAGGCAGGTCTCTCTCTCTCTTCCAGTCCCGCCGGCCCGAAGCTCTTTCGCGCCTCCGACTCGTTTTCAATTCAGCCGCCGCTTAGCAACCGGGAGGAGTAACGAGAGGGCATGCCGGAACGCCAGAACCAGCGGCCGAGGGAAGAGCAGCGCCGGCCCAGCCTGTTGCTTCACTTCCGTCTCTCGGTCTCTTGTCTTCGCAGCGAAGAGCCACAGCGCCACTTACTGGACCGGCGGGGAAGATCCCGAAAGGGAGCCCTGCCCTAAAAACAGCAGCAGCAGGTGCGGTTTGGTCTCCGCACAGGGAGGGGATACGTTTCAGTTTTGAACAGCTGTGGGTGTCCTCAGCTTACATGCGAATTAGCAACCGGACTCTCCCGCAAAAGCTAACAAAAGTGAACAAAGGAGCTGCACGTCCATCCTAAAACCAGATGGCCGAAACAGCTACTGGGGTGGGGAGCCGAGGGAAAGATTAAAACCAAAAGATTAATCAGCGCAAGTGAACTTCCTGTCATTGGGCTTTATTAAAGACCTTCTCGTCCTCGCAGACAGAGGTGTACAAAATAGGGTTGCCAGGTGTCCACTATTTGAGTGGACAGTCCACTTTTTTTCACATTATGTTCACTATTTTTTTTCACAAAATAGTGGACATTTTTTTTTATTTAAAAGCTTTATGATGAAATGGTACATAATCTAAAGCTGTACAGTCTACTTTTTTTTACTACTTAAACCCCCCCCCCCCCCGCTTGTCCGCTATTTTTTGGAAGCAGACCTGGCAACCCTATGTACAAATAATTATTTCCATTGCAAGTGGGCGGTGAGGGTGTTTCTCCATGCTTTCTTGAAATCCCTTACTTAATGGGATCTGCTTGCTTTCTGCAGAAGATTCCTTGGTCAACCGTACTAGCTGTAATCGGATCCACCCTCCCTCCAAGATTTTACTTCAAATTGTCTCCTTTCAGCCGCTTTGCTATTTTCAAAGGTGCGGGTGATAAGACTTAATTGACGGTGCACCCACTTGGTTTGGGATCTCTCACATAAGTCATCTATTTTTTTTTCAAGAACATACAATATGTAACACTCAGTCTTCTGAAAGGTTTGCCCCCCTTTTTTCAGTTTGGTCTCATCTCAAACAAGTCACATTATGTCTCCCTATATAATTCTTGAAGGGTGGAGGGAATAATCCTTCCTCTTGGTTTAACATCTTTGTTTTTCTTTATGATTACTGGGAAGGCTAATTTTAGCTTCAGTGAACTTCAGAAATGAAGCCAAGTGCATCACTCAGTCTCTAATGTGTTTACATTATCTTTCTATCTAGTGTTGTAGATCTTCTGTGGCCTTATTGCAGAGAAGCCCTCCTTAAGATGAGCTATTTATTTTTAAATTTATAAATTCATAACCAGAATATATGTATATGTATCTCTACCAGCAATTAAATTAACACATATCAACCATCTATATCTGTATTATTTGACTCTTCCTATTAATTATGTGACATGACCTTAGTATTGAAAAAACTACTGATTACTTTTTATTGTTTTGTTTTTGGATTTTTTGGGGGGAGGGAGGGTATATGGTCACACTTCCAAAAGAAATACTGGGGTGCAAACAACCACCATTTTTCCCTTTTAGATGAGTGCTTTAATGATGCAGAAAGCTGGCATTTTGCTTTAAAGCATGCCATTATTCCACTTTTAAAATGTAACATTACTTATCTGGTTAAAGGTCAGAGAAAGCAGGGAGCCAAGAAAGATGATTGCATGCCGGTTGAATTCTATAACATTGTAATGGTGCAAGTGCACAAAGACATCCTAACAGTTATTGCAGAAAGTTGAGAGAAAAGCTGGGAAACAGTGAGGGAATGATACAATGCCAAAGAAGGGAAAATAAAATATTACTTTCTTAACTTTCACATCATTTTGGTATAGTATAACTAGCAGCACTAATTCGAAGAAGTTAAACTCTTTGCAATTTTTCCAATAATTTATGTATATTTGTTATGATAAAATGGCTAATATAGAAAACTATTTTGTCTGTTTTCTCCTATTTCATGCTTTTTAATATTTTAAATGAGACAGTGAAATTAAAAAAATTGAATGGCAAAATATTTTCATATTGTTGTAATTCATGCAGTCAAGGGAATCAAAGTCAGCTCAAGGATGTCTACCTTTGAAAAAAAGTTGCCTCAAGAGCTAATTAGGTGGTCTCTATATATTTGTGGCTATTGTATTATTCCTAGTTTTCTTTCCATTAGTTATTCTCAGATTAAATTGTATTGCTGAAGGAAAGAAGCTGATTTAAGTTCCATTTTTTTATGTAGCATGTACCCCAAACTCTTTTTCATTATGTAATTTGAGATGTATATTCAAAGTCATATATTTGTGCATTCTTTTATTGAAGTTGTTCTAATTATTTTTTTCTTAGTGGAAAAATATAAATAAATATAAATACAAGCCCTGCATTATTATTCTGTGACATGTCATCCAAGACTTTGTAGAATGCCAGCTGCATACACTTAAGTTACATTGGGATAATTGCCCATTGGTTTAAATATTTAGATATTATAGATGTTAATGCTTTTAGCAAAAAAAATATCTGTGTGAGGCTAATTTGTTGCCCACAACAAAACATCTTTATTTCATTTTACAAGGAAACAAAGTTGTATTTCCATCTTTTTGTTTTAGGGTCCAATTACTGTAATACAGATTGAGTAATGAGGCTCCTAGTTTATTTATAGCAGATATTTTGCCTGCTTTGGCAACAATTGAGCTTTTTCTTGCACTTTTCTGTGTGGGGAAAAGCAGCTCTTGAGTTCTCCCTTCAAAGGAATTTCTAAGGTATAGAAATTATTCGGATATTTCAGATTATTATTATTCGGATAATTTCTTTATCTGAGGAAGCTTCTCAGTAGGGCTTCTGAAAAACAATAGGCAAGTAGACCCAGAATGTGCTATTTGGGGAGTAGAAACACCTGCCATTCTGTTCAATGTGAAAATTGAGGTCATACAAATGTTGAATCAGCAATTAGCTTCACCATTCTGGCTCTGGACTCAGTGGAAATTGACCCAGGCCAGGAACCACCATCTCCTTCTCCTCGCAGTCCTCAAGACTGCCAGCACCGAAGAGAAGGCATCAAAAGGTGACACAGGAATGTTTGGCCTTCAAGTAAACCTGGCAAGGCTCCATTGCAGTAAGTTGCTGAGGGAAGCCAGGCGTCAGCCAACTGTAATCAGGCAGGATAAGAAGCAATTATTTAGAAAACAACCTGGAATCAGCAATGATGTTCTGTGAAAACCTTAATTCCTAGCTACCATTTCCCTGTTATTTTCCCTTGCTCTTCCTTCAAATTTATTTACCTGTCTGATGAGCCTGATAGGTGTGCCTGAAATGTGGTCTGAATTTATGAACTTGAGATAGGCTTGATTGATTTACTGTTGCTTTAAACCTGATAGTCACAACTATTTACTGTATGGGACTTAGGCAGCATCATTTCTCTTTCCTATATTAAAGATGAATCCTACACATTGCACTGTTGCTCTTCTTGGGATGTTCATCACTGTTTTGTTGGCATTAATGATGCTTGTTATGTGAGTAGCGTGGTAGCCTAGTGGTGGAGTTCTCACCTCACAATCAGGAGGCTGTGAGTTTGATTCTAGGTAGTGGCATATATTTCTCTCTCTGGGCACAAGTAAATTGTCTGCTGTGAACTCCACATAGGCGTGAGGAAGACATCCAGCCAATAAACACTCAGCTCCATGCAATCACCCTGATTCCGCCCCGATTGAAGGAGTTAAAAGAAAAAAAATGCTTGTTATGTGAAACCATAACAAGCAATTCATTTTTAATCATGGCTTATTGATTAAGCCAGAGTAGCGTTTACTATAAAAACATGTAAGCTCTATGTATACATATACATACACACATACATATACATACATACATACACACACACGCACACACATATATATATATATATATGTGTGTATGTATTTAGTAGTTGAAACAGTAGTAGAAAATACAAACACACGACTATGAGGCACACGGGGTGATATAGTTATATATAGTAGAAAAACAATGAAAAAAGAAAATATATTGGCATCCCTCATTTTATTGCATTTCCTTTGTTGTGCTTCACACATATTACTTTAATTTTTCACAAGATTCTCTATCAGCAAAAAGATTATGACAGTGAAGGCTCAGATGATGACTACCATTTTTAACTATACAGTATTTTTAATTAAGGTGTGTACATTTTTAAGCACAATATGATTGCACACTGAATAGTCTATAGCAGAGGTGTCAAACTGCCAGCCCGCAGGCCGGATGTGTCACCAGGAATCCGCGCCCACCCTTTTGCCGGCAATGGAGAAAAAGCTCCGATACATAGCGCGATGTCACGAGTTTGACATGTCCAGTCTATAGTATAGTGTAAGCATAACTTTTATATTTACTGGGAACCAAAGAAAAATGTGTCACTCTATTGCAATTTGCTTTATTGTAGGAGACTGAAACTGAATACACAATATCTTCGAGATATGCCTTAATAGCAAGAGAAATAGAATACAAATAGAAACAGAAGCCCCAAAAGGCAAAAATTGATAAAAACTATGATTTACATATCATATTGGCTAGGGTAAGGTAAAATCAGACAAACTGGGTTATGGCATAGTGTGATTTATGGGTCCAGCCAGCAAGTAGGTTTTCTTGGGGAACAGCAACACACCACTGAACCAAACTCCTATCTGGACCAATTCTATATTATGGACTTTCCTGTATGGGCCATAAAATACCTTGCCTTTGAAATGTTTCTAAAGGCCTTTATTGATTTAGCATGTTTCTCATGTATGATCTCTTGTAAAGTATTTCTGCTTCAGAAGATCTTGATAAGAAAATAATCAAGTATACTTGGAAAGTATTTCTATGAAG